ATCGCTTGATGGAACCTTAAAGTCACAACGTCCTTGTTGCCAGTAGTGCAAGCATGCTGCTTGCCATCTCATTTCTCACTTAAAACAGCAAAAGCAAGTTACGTTTTTCAATTATTAGTCAGGAAAGATGGAACATGTTGTTGACTTGGGTCAGACATTCCTCTCCCTCTGCATTTTTCCTTTCAAGTTTTGAAGTTTCAGCTTTTCAAGTATCAGTTCCGTTTTCTTGAAATGGTTTGATTTTGTGTTTGTGTTAAACTTGCCAAAATGTGTCTGCGTGCTCCTGATCTCGCACATGAACTCCAGCTCTGGTTTCCCAGGCTCAGCTGAGCTCTGCACACAAAACACGGCCTGGATGATTTTGTTCGGTATGGAGACGTATCCCTCACCACAGACTCATTCGCTGAGGGTAGAGCAGCTGATTGGTTAATTAGCTTTGAAATTAAAATTAATTTGAGAGATGTAGCCCTGCGAATTAGAATGGTTTCTTGTCTCGTGGTCTCTGCACGTCTGTCCAGACCCTGCCTTGCTGGAGAGGATGCTTCGTTCCTCGTCTTCCTCAGATTAATGGCTGGTGGTTTTCTGCCATCCTGTTCAGAATTTGGAAATTTCAGGAGGCTGACAGGTGATGCTCTCCAGTGGAGGTGTCTGCAAGAAGCAGACAGTTTTCAAACCAGTTGCCATCTTTTATTGATCTGGGAAGGAGCAAGGCGTCGAAATGGCACCCAGCAAGAGCAGTCCCTGTTGTGGTCTTAATTGAGAAGGCAGCCGAAATCGCGGTATCACTGTCAGCTCTGAATCTCATCCTTTAAAGCCATATTCTCCTCATCCCTGAGCAGTGGAGAAGCCTTTTTGCCTGTCCTGACAGTCTTCTCAGCCCGGCTTCTGCAGCTGCTGCTTTCCCCATCCACCGTGTACAACGCTGCGCTCGGGGCGTGCCGGCTCCTGAAAATGGGCCGTGGTTGTCTTGGTGCAAATGGAGAAAATAAGGCTCTCCTGGTGTTTTTTTCCTTGATTTCCAGAAATTTGTGACTTATAAAACCCCCATCTCTCTTCTCAGGTTGCTTTGGTCTTAAAATTAAAGATAAATAACACCAGCCTACTTACGGTTTTTTTTTAAAGGGAAACTTGCTCCCGTTATCAGGATTGCTGCATATGGGATATTAATTGTAATCTTGTTGCTGGGTCGTTTCCATTGTTTTTCAAGTACCGTCAAGTCCAAGAAAATGTATGAAAACTAAATTACAGTCCCACGTAGGCTGTCTGATTGAATCCTCCTTATGGCTCTGTGGTCTCATACATCCTATTAAAATATTCAATCTTGTTTTCTTACTTGAAGAGCCTGTCTGTAAAGGGCAAACTTATAGAAAACCTCATTCTCTAGAGATATGGAATCCAGCCACACTGAAATATTTACATATTTCTGAACTGCGTGTGATTGGTCTTGTGCAGGGTCTCCCCTTTGCCTGCATTTATTAATAAAGATTGTCAAATCCATTTTTAATTATACAAGGCCTTTTCATTTTAAGCTGTGGATGGCTTTGCTGGCAATCTCTTGCTTCCATTTTGACCTTGAAAAGTAACTTTTCCCCCTCCTCCATCTTTTCCCCAGGACGGAGCTTTATCGTTCGCTCTTTGGAAAAATCACGAATCCTGAAGAACCGCAGCAGAATTAGCACCGGGCTCCCGCGCCAGCATCGCCCGCACCGGCCGGCTCCGCTCTGAACTCGTGACGCCTCCTCTGGGCAGCCACCAGCCCTGCCCTTGTGTGGTCGCCCAGGGCAGGGTTTCTCCAGACCTCACTGCAGGGACAGTAGATGCGGGTCCTGCCGGTCTCCAGGCTCAGGAGAGGCATGGGGCAGACGTTCAGCCTGGCCAAATGCCCTCCTCTGTGCCTTTGAAATGAGCTCTGCCTCTTCCCAAAGACAAACCGGTTTTCACTATTCTCTTTAAAATCCTGACCTTGATTTTGCAACCTGCTCAGCGTGGGTGCAGCGTTCTGCTGGAGGAGGGATCGCCACCCTCCCCTGCAATCAGGTCACCCGTGGTTGTATTAAATCCTCAGAGATTTTTATTTGGGAGATTGGAGGGGGGTGTTTAAATGTGCTGTTCTGGTTGTTGGCTGCATATCTGGAATGTGACTTTATTTTTCACTGAGTCAAGAGGATTTAAATGTCATTTACATAATTAACACAGCCTTAAAACAGAGAAAAGGTGCTCTCCCTTGCAGCCAGGCAGAGCTCCCCGTTCACACTCCTGACCACGCACTCGCTGCACACAGGGACATTTGCTGGCTGCTGATGGGCACGACGTGGGGCTACGGCTGGGGATATTTCTGCAATTTGAACATATTGGTGAATTTTTCAGTCCAGCATTGATCCTGTACACTTAATTATTTCTGCTGATGATGGCTCTGAGCCGTCCTGTCTTCACCATCACCATGACTCGCTGGTGAAGGGTGCCAGCACGAATGTGACACTGGTCAGAGGAGATGGCTCACTTGAGGGCGTCTGTGGGATTTTTATATCCAAAGGTCAGAAGCTGGAAATTAAATCCCCGTTAGGGGAATTTGTTGCTCTGCTGTGATCAATCTGAAATGGAGGTTGTCTTGCGTAAATAATATGTGCATATATGTACACGTGTGAGGTGGCCGTTGCTTGTGCCCACACAAACCGCACTGCCTTCGTTCTGTGTTTTGCATGCTCTAGTTAAAGTGCTTCGTAAATTGAGCGGTGCACAAGAGGTACTGGCAGCCACGGCCTCGCTCAGCCCCAGTGCGGTGTCCCCGCAGCAGCCGGAGAGCGCTGGGAGGTTTCAGTGTGGAGAGAGCACTGCGGGGTGGGCTGGGACGGGACGGTCCTGAGCCACTGGAGCTCGTCCGTGGCCATCGCGAAGGGAGCCGGGGCTCCAGACCGGGTCATGCTTGGCACAGTGACCGCACAGGGGCATGGGGAGGTTTCAGAGCGTCTGTGTGGCGCTGGGGGCTTGGTGCCACTGAACCGAGCTGTGTACCCGGCTGGTGCAGCCACTTCACAGCGACAGAGCAGGGGTGGTGTGCTGCTGGCACCCAGCACACATCACAAAAGGGCAAAGGCTTGCAATAGTGTTACTTTTGTTTTATGTTCACCAACTGAAAAGCCCCATTTCTGAACTTCATAGTAAGACAAGGCGGTTTTGTTTATGGGTTGGGTTTCTTTCCCCGCTATATAAGTTACAGCTTACTGGCTTTTCAGTAGACGAGTAAATTCTGCTCTATCATTTTTTCTTGTGAAGCCTAAATGAAAATACTTGATGTTTGCAAGTGTCTTACAGGCCAGAGCAGGAAGGGAAGCCCATTCCACACCCTGTGCTTCTCTGGCAGATGGTGCAGGAGCCGATGATCCCACCTTGCGTCTTCTCATGGCGCTCACCCCATTCCCTCAGCTTGAAATGGGATGTGCTGCGATACAGTTTCATCTGTTTTCTTTATTTTAACCCCCCCCCCACCCAGAAGGGTTTCCCTGTAGCTGTGCTGTTGCACTTCACTGTGTCCCTGGAGCTGTCTGCAGAGCTGTTGTTAATTAATCACTTTTGCACCTCATCATTACAGATTTAAGTCTCCCTTCCAGTCACCTGCTGCCAGTAAACGGCTTCCCAGCACCTTCCTCGCTGTGTGGAGCAGAGTCCACCACAGCAAGAACCAGCTCAGCTGTGCACACTTCGCTGAGGCAGAGGCTGGAGGTGCAAAATCCCAGGTTTAAAGGCAGGGAAAAAGGTGCAGCTGTGTGGGAATGCGGTTCTGGCTGAATTCCCCCACCCCATCCCTGCACAAAGCAGCCTGGGGTCAGGCCTGGGGACAGCCCTGTGCTGTGCCATGCTAAAGGCAGGGAAAAAGGTGCAGCTGTGTGGGGATGCGGTTCTGGCTGAATTCCCCCACCCTGTCCCTGCACAAAGCAGCCTGGGGACAGCCCTGTGCTGTGCCATGTGAGGGGCCGGTCCCAGAAGTGCTCCCTTTGGGCGAGGAGGCAGCGCATCCCCCAGGTTCCTTTTGGGACTTTTGGTTTTTTACCACCAGGGAGGAAAATCTGCGATGATGTTGTTAACCCAGAGCCGCCCACGAGCGTTACCTGGATCTTTCCAGTGGCCGCCTGCGGGCAGCTCCATGAAGCCATTGGCATTTTGCTGGCCCTGCTCCGTGGCCCTGCGAGCGCTGTGGGGAGCGGCGGCGGCAGAGCCAGGCTCCTGCCCCGTGCAAGCATGTGGCATTTTTTTCCTTGGCTTTAGAAAATAAGTGCCAAGGTGAGTACTGACGGTGTGGAAAACGTCTGTATCATGGATGAATAAATCTGGATGCTCGCTGGCAGCGAAGCAGTCACTGCAGCTCTTGGGGAAGTGCATTGATTGGTGCCGTCCCCCTCCAACTCACAGCTCACTGGTCAAAATTTGGTGGGTGGAAACACACTAAATGTCACCGGTGTCTCCTCGCTGCTGCCCTTTCTATTTCAGGAGCCCACCAAGGACCTTGCGTACAGCAGAGCCCAGCAGCGATGCTCATCCCTCCCGTGGAGCTCACAGGAGCTGCAAGAGGCCAAGCTCTGTTTGGGGACCATTTTCCATGGCAAAGCCTGGCAATGTCCCCCCCCATCTACTCCCCCATCAATGGCTCCTCAGCCATGGGCAGAAACCAGTGTCACCTTCCACCCAACCACCATGCGCTGAGGGTCCCGGTGTGTGTCCCACCCCTTGACCTGTGCCTGCACTTGTTTCCTGAGCAGCAGCAAAGCTGTGTGGTCTTCTACCATCATTAAAATCTCCTGGCTTAATAACCACAGTTCTGAAAGGCATTAAGCGAGTAAATGAGCTGCTCCCACAGTTTGCTGGTGGAAGAGTCTCACGCTGCTTGTGCTGCGAGGGCATCACGCGGATGTAGCAGAACCTTGTTCCTGCCCTGCTTTGGGGTTTGCTGTGCTGACACATTGGCCTGCCTTTGCGGCCAAGGCTTGAGGCTGCAGCTCTGCCACCCCGTTCCTGTTGACTCCTGTGTCCTTTAGAGTTGTAGCGCCAGGGCACTCGATTCATTTTTTTTTTTATTATTATTATTTTTTTTCAGAGCAAGCAATGTAATGTTTAAAGGGTAATATGAAACACTTTAAATGTGATAACTTCTCGTTGGTATTGTTTGAAGAGATAAGAGTCAAAGCCCTACTAAGCATGCTTTTGAATTTACTTATCAGTGTTTAAGCAGGCTTTTCTCCCTGCCATCCCCCACCACCACCTGGGTAGTGGTGATACATGGGGAGAACCTGGGCCGGCCGCATCGGCTTATGAGGGCCCCGTTTCATCTCCTGACCTTGCTGCTAAGGGCAGCGCTTTATTCCTGGCAGGAAACGCTCCCTCGCCTGGATTTGGCTGTGCTGCAGGAGAGAGCACAGCCTGTGTAATCCCTGAGGAAGAACTCATGGGAGCCTGTGTCCAGCGGAAGCTCCACAGCACTGCCCTCCTGTGCAGTCGTGGTGGTGGTGGGCACCACGTGCGGCCCTGGCCTCTCGCAGCCCCCGGTGAGGTCTCTTGGCTGGATGGGGCGTTATACCCCCATTATATCCCCGCTGGCCCAGCAGCTCTGGCAGGGTCAGAGCGGTTGTGTCCGATGCTGGGCCCGGTCAGCAGCTTTGCGTGCTGGTTAATAGGGGCACAGAAACCCAGAGTGATTTCCACCAAGTTTTCTTAATGCTGCCAATTAACAGCAAGGGAGATAGTCGTGTCCATGTCCTGTTCCCCCCCCAATCCCCCAAGCCAATAGACTATAAATTCTTTATTAAATCATGATACAGCTGCTAATTAGTACCTACACAAGTGGGTATTATACCTTTGCACAACATTGCACAGTAACTAGAAGGTGTATTTGGGAATTGGGTGTGTGATGAGGGTGCTCCCCCCCCCCCCCCCCCCCCCCATAGCAAAGAATTTCAACTTTCAGACAAACAACTTCATTTACAAGAGTGTCTTTAATTAGCTGCAGAATTAGTAAAGCAGAGTTTTCCCCCCATAGAGCGGCCAAAGCCCCAAGGGAGGCTGTGGAATAGAGAGAATCGCATTTCCAATTATTTTGTTGAATTGCTAATTTAGTTATTGTGCCTGGCGTAATTGTGATGGGTATTGGGTGTGCAATTCAATTTGTTTTAAATATTTGTGAGAAGGCGGATCAGTAATGGAGCTGACCTATTTTGTGGCCCAAATTGAGAGAAGAGACTAAAACAAAACACAGCTACAAAGCCACAGTTTGTCTCAGTTTTTATTTTGATGTCTCTCATCCCTCTTAAGACTGTTGATGCAACAAAAGGTTTACATTAAAAGATGATGGCACTTTGATCTTGGGCTTTTGAGAGCTTACGGCTTTGGTACTTCTTTTCTTGGCATTTTAATATGTAGATATTTTAGGCTAAAGAGTTTTAAATGCGTTTCTGGAGTTCAGTAGGGTCCATCCTCTCCCCCACCCCCAGTTATGTGATGTTTGCTAAGGTGATTTATGCTTTTAACTATCAGGATTCTGGTTTGAGAAATGCATGAAAAATAACGGCTAGGGTGGTGTTAGCAAACGTGCTCCAGTTGCACCTCTCTCTCAAACCCCCACCTTTAACGCAGGGAATTTCTGGAAGGCGGCAGCTTGTGCCAAGCTCCTCAACCCAGGGTCCTGGGG